GCCTGGACCTTTCTGTGGAGAGGATGGTGGCAGCCACACGGGGGGACCACCGCATGTCTTGCTAGGGGAATAGGTTTCAGGACCAAATGCGTGGAAGCGGGGAGAACCCATTCCTTTGGGAAGCTGTAGGGGATTGGGGAATGATGAGGCTGCAAAAGTGAACAAAAGCCATCCCCAAGACAGACCATTGAGCTGCTGTGGGTGAAGACAGGAGAATACTGCGTAGACCTTAGGTTGCAGAGGTCACTTGGGTGTGGCTCACCGGGACAGGTGTATGTGAGATTCTGGGAGGCAGAGCTAGAGCATGGTCTTGAAGTTGGGTGGTTGTGTTCCCAGGTTAGACCTTGGGTGAGCTTCCGGAGCGGTGTTGTCTCTCCTGAAGTCATATTGCAGGCAAAGAGAGGAGCAGTGGTGTCTGCGCAGGGCCTGGGGTCGAGGTCATGGGCCTGGACCTCTGTGTGTTCCCCGGACTGTGCTGTGCTCACAGCAGGCTGCTGCAGGCTTTTTGTTATTGATTTGTCTGTGTTGCTGCTCAATGATTTTTGTGCTGTTAGGACACTCCCAATTATTAGCTGGTGACATTAGGCTGGTGTCCAGTAACTTCTTCCTCTCCAAGGGGTGCTGAGGAACGATTAGAGATAACAGACTTAGAGAGGAATCTGGACTAAATAAATGTGTCATGAGGTTGGCCGTCTTTGGGAGAGACTAAGGAACCGCCTTCAGGGTGTCTGTCCATCTGCCAGCTATCCTGGCAAGTAGATGGGTGATACGGTGATCTGCTACTTATTTCTTAGTAACTTTTTTTTTTGCTTTATTTTCCTATTTTGGTTTTTTGTTTGTTTGTTTTTCGAGACAGGGTTTCCCTGTGGCTTTGGAGGCTGTCCTGGAACTAGCTCTTGTAGACCAGGATGGCCTCGAACTCACAGAGATCCGCCTGCCTCTGCCTCCCGAATGCTTGAATTAAAGGCTTGAGCCACCAATGCCGGCTGTAGCCCTCCAAACTTAACTGTCCCCCGACCTTTCCTCCCCAACATTGCACATTCTGGTGTCCCTGTGTTTGACAGGCTTTGAGCATCTTGTTTATTTTGGGCTCCTTTCCTTTTGACTGGCGTGGCTGCTGCCTGGGACTAACCTTATCACTCACTTGGGCAAGACAGCTGTCCTGTTACTTTGTAACATCCTCCTCACAGTGAGCCAAAGGCAGGGCCAAGTGCTTTAACAAAGGATTTGAAGAAAAATATAGCTGGGATCTGTAAATATTACAGACCCAGAAGGACACAGGTAGCTACATCCCGCCCCATGCTTCCGTTGATATTAAAAATAGATGAACAGAAAGTTTTCCTTTTTTGTCCTTCCCCCCTCCTCGTCCCCCACTTTGAATCAGGCATCCCTGGAGAGCATTGCTCATCGCTTGGCAAGTGTGCCTGGTTAGGGCCCTCAAAGGGCAGAGATAGCCGCAATGGTAACACTTGGCCAGGAGTGCATTTCTGGGAGCCATGGATTCCCTCCCTGTGCTGGATTCTGGGGGCAGGACTACATTTTGTCACCAGATGGGTCCTGACCACCCAGACTTATCCGGGTTGGCAGGACAGTTGAAGACCACAAAACCACACTGAACCGTGCACACTCTTCTCCCCTGAAATGCTCAGACTAATTTGGGGCGCCTTGCAGCTATCTTGTTCACAGGGTAGCTAGCCTCAGACAGCTCAAGTCCAGGGGTATTTGGTATTTCTGATGAACGCAACTGACTTTTCTGGAAATTATTTTACGGTTGGAGGTCTGACAGGGATAGTTAAGACCCCTGTGGTGCTTGGGGTCTTGGAACTTCCATGGACTCGTGGTACTCAATTATAATTTCTTTATCCTGGTTTTCTGTGCTCGCATAGACCCCCTAGCCTCCTGTCCTTAGCATGTTTTCATCCCAGATCCTCCCCATTCCCTGCTATTCCTCCTGTTCCTCCCCGGCCTTAGCTCCTAGCTGGGGAGTGACAGTTTTGGTGCTTTGCCAGTGTGGCGTGGCCTTTCCCAGCTTGATCTCGCCATAACGCACATCCTGTTTCTCAAGTGGTTTTTATCCACAGCGTCTTCTGATGTCACACTCTGCCCTATGAACCAACTATCAGAAACCAGGAAAAAATGTGGTCCCCCCATGACTCTGTCCCCTCAAAACTGCATCCTCCCCTTCTTCTGTTGGGGGCTCATAAAAGGATTAGCGAGGCTCCAGCAGTAATTGAATTCAATGATTCAAACACCTGAACCCCGCTGAGATCTCCCAGGAGCCCAAGGAGGGATTATGTGCGCCTGGTTCTTATTCCAGGCTCTTCTTAAAAAGTCTGCTTTGCAGGTAGCTCCTTGGATCAGGCGCCAGTGGGGCCAGTAATCAAGTTAGCTCTCACTGGGCCAAGAGATTTGGTGCGGGGGGGGGGGGGGGACTGTGTGTGGCTGTCTGTCAAGCAGATTTTTCCATCTGGGGAGATGGAGTTTGGGCTTGTCCACTTGTGTTTTATGACATAACCCTTTCCAGGTGTTATTCCCTCTGCCACTAAAAATGTTATTTTAAACATCGGTTTTGCGTGTGTGTGTGTGTGGCTGTATGTGTGTGTGTGTGTAGAAAATTGAGGTTAGGGACTGGAGAGGTGGTTCAGTTGGTTAAGAGCATTGGCTGGTCTTGTAGAGGCCCTGGGTCCCATCCCCCCAGCCACAACTGTCTGAAACACCAATTCCAGGGAGATAATGACGCCCTTCTCTGGCCCCCACATGTACTAGCCATGCACATGGTTCACAGACATACATGTAGGCAAAACACCCATGCACACAAAAATTAATAATAAAAATAATAATTTCAAAAAGTCAGAAGACAACTTGCAGGAGTCAGTTCTCTCCTTCCATGTGGGCTTTGGGGCTTGAACTGGGACCATCAGGGTTGACAGCAAATGCCTTTATCCACGGAACCCTCTATGCCACGGCCACGTTAATTTTAAAGTAATGGTTATATGTTGAAAGTGTATTTAGGATAGGGTACAGTATATAAAATGTTAAAATCAGTTCGGGCTGTTTCCTTTTTAAGCGTGGCTCCTAGACATTTACATTTTGTATGTATCAGTCATGGTGGCGCAAGTCTGTAGACCTGGATACTTAAGAGACTTGAGTTACAAAGATCATATAAGCCCAGGGGTTTGAGACCATGTGGGTACAGAAAAAACAAAACAAGTGTAGCCAGTTGGCAAGGTGGTGTAGTCAGTAAACATACTTGCCACCAAGCCTGAGGACCTGAGTCCCATCCCCAGGACCTGTCCATGTGTTGGAAGGAGAGAAGCAAGTCCTATGAGTTGCCCTCTGACCTTCACAAGCACACAGCAGTGTGTTGTGCCCGAGTGTGATAAACAAAACAAAACAAAATGTAATAATTCAAAATAAATACAATAAAACGTCTATCTAGCTATATGGCCTGTGTCTGTAATTCTATTTTTTACCTACCTCTTTTCGAACTGGTCTAGCCCACTGAAACACGAGTAGAGAATGGAAATGGGACAGACACACACACACGAGGACTTGGAGTGTGGCAAGCTTTCCCAACTGCTATGAAAGACAGAGATCTTGCCAAAAGTGACGTCGGGACAATTGGCTTGCCATATGGAAAAAATGAAATTAACTGCCGATTTATAGCATGTATAAAAATAAAATCCAGATGGGTTGGGTTTGGAAATGTGAGAAAGTTTAGGGCTTTTATAAGTTACAGGGGCTGCATTTGGGGCATTGCAGGGGACCTGGCCTCAGGTGGCCTTTGTTGTATAAGCAAGTTAAAATGTACCAGCTTCCAGCTGCCCTGTCTTAAGGGTGTGACTGCATTTTGTTTCTGTTTGGCTGTGTTCACAGATCACATAGGGCCCCCGCCCCCACCCTAGTTAAGTCAGGCCACAGGGCTGGCTCAAAATGAAAAAGCATGGAGAAGCCGGGTATAGCGTTGTAGACTGCTCCGATCCCAGAGCTAGGGAGACTGAAGCAAGAGAACCCTGAGTTTGAGATCAGGTAGGGGTACATACGTCAGAGAGACTCTAATTCAAAACAAATAACAAAGTCCGAGTGTTTGGGCATTTAGCTCATCGACAAGCACAAGACCTGGAGTTCAATCCTTAAAGGTGTGTGTGTGTGTGTGTGTGTGTGTGTGTGTGGGCGGGCGGGGGGGGGTGCTATGTATGTCTTTATATGCAGTGTGTGTGTGTGTGTGTGTGTGTGTGTGTGTGTACCAACTATGCTGGGTGTGGTTGCAAAAGCCTTTTATCCCAACACTTGGGAGACAGAAGCAGGTGCATCTCTCTCTTTTTTTTTTTTCTTTTTTTTTTGATTTTCGAGACAGGGTTTCTCTGTGTATCTTTGGACCCTATCCTGGCACTCGCTCTGGAGACCAGGCTGGCCTTGAACTCACAGAGATCCGGCTTACTCTGCCTCCCGAGTGCTGGGATTAAAGGTGTGCGTCACCAACGCCCAGCTGCAGATGGATCTCTTAAGTTCAAGGTCAGCCTGGTCTACAAAGCTGAGTTCTGGGCCGACTGGTACATAGCAAGGTCCTGTCTGTATTCACAGCTTTTTGTTCCCTTGTCCCAGGAAGCTCACTTGGAACCCCCTGAAGTCCATATGGCTCTTTATGACGAAGACCTCCTGAAGAACCCTTTCTACCTGGCCCTTCAGAAGTGGCGCCCTGACTTGGGCAGCAAGGTGGCCCAGATCCACGGCATTGTAAGTCAACCGGTCCTGAGGGTTTTGCTCTCAGGCATGGGAGCAATGTCAAAAATGTGGCGGGCTGGTGGGACTTACAAAGCTGCCAAGTTTAGCGGAGCCCCAGGTGTTACGGCGGCGTGCTGGGTGTGTATGGTGAGGGACCACCTCAGGCTGCTGTCTGGTGGAAGCAGCCTCCTGGGACTGAAGCCTGGTGTCTTGGTTCAGGTTTCTATTGCTGTGATGAAATACTATGACCAAAAAGCAAGTTGGGGAGAAAGGGGTTAATTTGGCTTGCACTTCAGCACTGCTGTTAGTCACTGAAGGAAGTCAGGACAGGAACTCAAGCAGGGCAGGAATGGACCCCCAGCCCAGGGATGGCACCACCCACAATGAGCTGGGCCCTCCCCCATCAATCAAGAATTAAGAAAAAAGCCGGACAACAGGATGTTACAGAGGTACTTTGTTTCTCAGTGAAGGTTCCCGCTTTCAGATAATCCAGCTTGTGGCAAGCTGATATAAACTAGTCAGCACGCCGGTTGTTCTCATCTGCTCCGCCTGGTGCTCACTCCTACCGGGGAATGTGAGCATGGTTAGTTTTCGTTGTCACCCTGGAGTGCTTGATGCTCACGGGTTAAGGGCACTTCCTGCCTCTGCAGAGGACCCGGGTTCGATTCTCAGCACCACCTTAATTAATTAATTTAAAAGCACTCATTGTGTCTCAACCTAGAGTCACCAGAGACGAAAGTCTCGAGTATTATCTAGATCAGGTCTGCCTTGTGGCTCTGCCTGGCCGTTAGTGATGCAGGAAGACACAGTGTGCTGTGGGCCACACTGTTTCATGAGCCCTGAGCGGTAGAAGGGTGAAGAAAGCTGCAGACCCTAAGCGGCAGCCAGCGGGCAGCATGGGTGTGTTCCTTCGTCTCCACCTCGACTGGGCCAGCTTGACATCCTGCCTCGCCCTCCCCTCAGGGATGGACAGCAGCTGGAAATGGAAGTCCAGCAAACCTTTTCTTCTCCCTTGTCACTTTTGGTCATGGTGTTTTTGTCACAGCAAAGGAAAGGAATCGAGGATGTAGCTTGGAAAGAATTTTCCCAAAGGGAAAGAATTTCTGCAACATAGGGCATGACCTCAAGAGCCTATGGGGTAGCCAGACACCAGGACTGGGAGAATCATGCAGGCTAAACGGTGGCATGGGGGTGAAAGACCCCTGGAGGCTCAGGCCCCCAGGATCTCAGCCCAGGACAGGGGCCACCCCAATTACCAAGCGGAGTTGAAAGCATGATGCAAACAGCACAAGACTTTATTGCAGTTGTTTTAACGAACTAACCCCATGTTAGGTCAGGTCTTTCATCTATCCACCATGGCGGATGGCTGGGAAAAGGCACCAGGAAGGCAGCATAAGGGGAGTGTCTAGGGGTACGCACAGGCTCAGGATTGGTGTGCCTCCAGGCTTGGAGGGCTTGCCCTGTGTTGATTGGTCAACTGGTTGTTATGGCCCATAGGCCCTCCCAGGGAGTTTTCTTGGCTGTGCACTTGTCCATAAAGCACACCCAGAGCCATAAAGCATAGCACCACCAGCTAACTTCTGATTGGTTCCTTGCCACGAGGCAGGCATCTGACCTCCTAGTGACCAAGGCAAGGTCAGGCAAGCACATGTTAGACTGTCATGGCTGCCGAAATGGGGAACTGGTCCCTTCAGGGGCAGGGGCTCTGCTGCCTGGAGGGGGCACTCCATGTCCTGCTGTTTAGATAATTTTCATGATATTTACTGTGTTAGGCGCTTTGCCTAACAGAAACCAGCTGATGGAGGAAGACAAGATTTTGTGTGACTAGTGGTCTCAGCGGTTTCTGTCCATCCTTTGGCTAGGGGCCTGGGATGAGGCAGAACACTGGTGGTGGAGTGTGTGAAGGAGAAGGTTCTTCACCTCTCGGTGGAGAAGGGAACAGGAAGGGAAGGCCTGGGGACCAGCTCAACCCACAGAGGCACGCTACCAGGGACTTGCTTCGGCCAGATAGGCCCCACCTTCTAAGGCTGTAGAACTGCCTCAAAAGGGCCACCAGCTGGGGACCAAGGGGCCTGTCTTCAGGGGGACATTTCCTATTTGCACATTAGTGGTGGTCCTGATTTGCATCCCCATCTGCCATGAAGGGAAGTCAAGGCAGGAGCCTGGAGGCAGGAACTGAAGCAGAGACCGTGGAGCATGCTGCTTGCTGGCTTCTTCTCCATGACGTACTTAGCTGGCTTCCTTCCTTTTTCCCTGTCTGTTTAAGACAGGGTTTCTCTGTGGAGTCTTGGCTGTCCTGGAACACACTCTGTAGACCAGGCTGGCCTCGAACTCAGAGAGATCCGCCTGCCTCTGCCTCCCGAGTGCTGGGATTATAGGTGTGCACCACCACCACCGACAACTTAACAGCTTCCTTCTACAGTTCAGGGTGACACTGCGTATGGTGAGCTCAACCAGTAGGGTGGAGGCATCTTCTCAGTTGAAATTCCCTCTTTCCAGATAACGCTAGCTTGTGTTGGGTTGACAAAAAAACAACCAGGACAGTGGGCTCCTTCTTTTTCTTTTTCAGTGCCAAGGAGGAAAATCAGGATTTTGTACATGTTAGGCAAGTGCTTTACCACTGAGCCACACCCCCCAGCCCCTCACTGGGGGATTCTAGGCAGGGGCTCCCTTACTGAGCCACACCCCAGCCCCTCACTGGGGGATTCCAGACAAGTGCACTACCATAGAGCTATGCCTCTATCCCAGTATATTGTGTGTATGAGAATTTGTGTGTATAAGGAAGGACACGTGTGTGTGTGTGTGTGTGTGTGTGTGTGTGTGTGTGTGTGTAGGTCACAGGACAACTGCAGATGTCATTCCTCAGACCCTGTTTTGCATTTGATTCCGGGTCTCTCATTGGATTATGAGAGACCTGAGTAGCTAGGCTAGCCAGCCTCCTAGCCCCAGGGCTGTCTGCCTCCTCAGTTCCGGGAGTGTGTGTTTGCTCCGTCAGACCTGTTTTGTTGGTTTTTTCACCAGTTCTAGGGTGAAGTTAAGCCCCACACCACACTGACAGAGCTATCTATCTATGCGGCTTCTATTTCAAAGCTTCATTTTAAGTTGAGTGTGTTGGGCGTGTTGGCGTTGTCTTGGACTCTGCTCGGGAAGTCCCTCCTGGCTCTTGTTTTCTTCATCACCTCACACCGTGTTTGCTTCTCCTGTGGTGTTCTGCTCGGGTCAGACACAGGAGGATTTGAACCAAAGGAGAAGTTTGGTTAGGTTCAGATGAGTCTCTGGGTGCTGGTGGCTTTTCTGGAAAAACAGAACTAGCGTGTGCCTTATTTATACCCGCAGGAGCCTGCTGTCCTTGAAGCTCATTCTGAGTTTTATGTTCAGTATTTTTCTTCATATGTATCAACCAGAGTCTTTTTTTTTAATTTTATTTTTTTATTATGTGTACAACATTCTGCTTCCATGCATATCTGTACACCAGAAGAGGGCACCAGATCTCATTACAGATGGTTGTGAGCCACCATGTGGGTGCTGGGAATTGAACTCAGGACCTCTGGAAGAGCAGCCAGTGCTCTTAACCCCTGAGCCATCTCTCCAGCCCGTACAATAACTTTGTTTTGTTTTTTTTTTTGTTTGTTTGGTTTTTGTTTTGTTTTGTTTTGTTTTGTTTTTTTCAAGACAGGGTTTCTCTGTGCCGCTTTGGAGCCTATCCTGGCACTCGCTCTGGAGACCAGGCTGGCCTCCAACTCACAGAGATCCACCTGCCTCTGCCTCCCAAGAGCTGGGATTAAAGGTGTGTGCTACCAATGCCCCAGAGTCTTTTTTTTTAATTTATTTTTATTTTTTATTTTTTTGGATGCGTTAGTGTTCATTATTTAAAAAAAAAATAGAGGCAGAGCATGACGAAACAGGCCAATAATTCACACATGCGGTAAGCTGAGGGTACATAGTGAGTTTGAGGCCGGCATACACTATGTAGTGAGACTCTCTCATAAAACCCACGCTCACAAATAAATAGACAAACAAGAGTCCAGAGAGAAGGCTCGGTGGCCAAGAGCATGTGAGAACCCAAATCCAATACCCAATTCCAACCACCACGCTCAGCCCATCGTCTGAAACCGTACTCTACTCCAGCCCCTCCCGAGAACTGTGGGAGCCACTAGAGGTCCACCCTGGATAACTAGACGTTTCTGGCCTTCCTTGGCCTTGTCGGGTGAGGCAGCTTCGCTGCAGAGGTCAACCGTGCAGTGAAGTACTCCGCCAGCACACTCTGGGTGGGGCTGGAGCTGGGTGGCTCTCTCTGGCCCCCTGTTGTTCACGGCTCGTGGGATGGTCAGGCGGCTCACAGCCGTCCATTGAGCAGCGTGCTCAACGTGTTTCTTAGTTGAGTATATTGCAGTTGCTTCTGGAAGGTTCCTCATCCCACCCATCACTTCTGAGAGAACAGCATGGCATCAGCAGTTTTGTGCTTAATTTCTGTCCTGGGAACTTGCCAACCGGCCCAAGGATTAATCAAGCCCAGCATCTTCTCTCTGGAGATCAGAACCCTTTACGGGTGCAGCGTTGCTGTGACAAAACCCCATACAGAGCCATACAGAAGTGACCCAAGGAAGAAGGGTTTATTTGGGGTCACAGTTTCAGAGGTTACATTCCATCGAGCTGGGGAAGGCATGGTAGAGTTCATGATGGCTGCAGTGCTTGTCAGAGACATCTCCACATCATTTTGGAACAGGAGGCCTTGTGCAGGCCTGGAACCAGGTGGAAACAGAACCTACAGAGACCCACCCTTGGTGACACACTTCCTGTCACCAGGCTCCTTCTCCTAAAGGCTCCGCAGACTCCTTGATAGCTGTGTAAGCTGCAGAAAGAGTATTCAAGACATGAGCTGTGGCAGACAATTCAGATCCAAACCAGAACCGTGCAACTTTAAGAAAAAGATACCAACTCACCATTAAAAACCACGTCAGGGCTGGAGAGATGGCTCCGTGGTTAAGGGCACTGAGGACCCGGGTTTGATTCCCAGCACTGACATGGTGGCTCACGGCTGTCTGTAACTCCAGTTCTAGGATCCAACACCCTATTCTGGGCTCTGCGGCCAGCGTATGCATGCAGTGTGCAGGTGTGCACATAGGAAAAACACCTGAACATACAAAGTTAAAGTGATGGAATAATAAGTAGATGTTTATCGTGTCTTCCTCCAACAGCCAAGCTGGTATGAAACCTGCCCTGCGGGTCTGTGGTGGCATGGGCGGGGCAGCTGAGCAGGGAGCCTAACTGTTTCCCACACACACACACAGCCCAGCTGCTGCTCAAGCCAGCTGCCTTCCAGGGTGTCCCTTCCCGAAGGACTTTGCTTTCTGCCGTCTTGTTGTGTCACGAAAATTCCTTCTCCCTCTCGCCCTCATCTTTTAATCTCACCCACACCGTTCTAATAGCTGCTTCTGTGCTTATTATCCATGCTAATAATGCACCTGGGGCTTCCTGAGTGGCTTGGGCAGGTCTGTCTCCTGGGACTCTTGTCTGTGGGCTGCTGTTTCCTGACCTTGTAGGAGAGAGAGATAATTAAGATCTACCCCAAGCTGAGGCAGCACCAACACCCCCCCTCAGTGACTCACATTTCATCAGGATGAGTAAAATAAACTTATTCAAGTTTATTACTGACATAGCAGTGGTATTTGTGTAGTTTTGGAGCCTCCCCTGGCATTCACTCTGGAGACCAGGCTGGTCTCGAACTCACAGAGATCCGCCTGCCTCTGCCTCCCGAGTGCTGGGATTAAAGGCGTGCGCCACCACCGCCCGGCTTATTATTTTTATTTCATGTGCATTCATGCTTTGCCTGCATGTACGTCTATGTGAAGGCGTCAGATCCTCTGCAGTTACAGGCAGTTATGAGCTGCCATGTGGGTGCTGGGAACTGAACTCGGGTCCTCTGGAAGAGCAGCTGGGGCTCTTAAACCACTGAGCCATCTCTCCAGCCCCCACAGCTCCATTTTCTCAAGTTGACAAACCACCACTTTTTGTCAGATTCCTATTTGATAATTAATTACTGTAAGCATAGGAGAATCAATGCAGACGTCAGTTCAGATGCGACCCCTGCCCCCCTTTTCAAAACAGTGCAAGTAACAATAGGCTCACACAACCTGACATGCTGGCAATGCCACACCTGGGATATGTTGTGTGATAATGGACAGAGACCCTGCTGGGCTCAGGAAACACTGCCCAGTCTGGTACATAGCACAGCTAAATGATAGCTTGCTGCAAGAGGGAGTCACTCTGGCTAGGAGGTGGAGGACTGGCTCATGACAACTACCTAGAAAAAGTTGTCCAGGTTTCCTGTGATACCTGGAGAATGGGTCCATTTGTCTGTCAGAAAAATTACCAGAAGGCAGGTAGGTACCAGAGGTGGGAGTATCTGGAGTTCCAGGCTGGCCTGGGCTATGTAGCAAGATCTTATCTCAAACAAACAAGGGTTGGGCTGTCTGTAGCTTAGTTGTGGGGACATTGTGCGACCGAGGACCCGCTCTCCCTTGGAACGAGAAGAGGTTGGCCCCCTTTCCATGTCTGGAATGGGAGGGTCCCCCGGGCAGTCAACAAATGTTGACTTACTTACTCCACCTGGCATGCTTGGTGACAGGAATCCAGAGCAGTGCAGAGGGGTCTGGGTGTGGCAAGGTGTGCCAGCAAGCAAACAGTATGTAATTTTAAT